TATATATATATATGTGTGTGTGTGTGTGTGTGTGTGTGAGTGGTAAAAAACAATTTTATAAAACTATTTATTAAGATATAATATTCTCAAAAAAAATAATTTTAAAAAAAAAAATCCTGAAATACATACAGATATATCTCACATAAACAATTCACTTCATATTATCGATATACATAACATTAAATTTTGTAATGTATGCTTTTGTAACCAATCAAATTCGTATTTTTAAAAATTGTAAACCTTGATTTTTATCAATCCTAATTCACGTTAACTTCTCTATCACACTACACTTGATCGCAAATATTGATTTTGAATTAAAAAATACGAGAAAATTCTTTTTTTTTTCAAAATGCATTAATTATGTAAAAGAAACTATCAAACATGCATGTGTTATACTAATAATTAATAAAATATGACAAAGTTATTTATAAAGGGGAAAAGTAAATATTGTCCGACCATGTCTTATATGCACACAAATATGTTTACATGTAATATTATATTAAAATTAAAATCAATTTTTTTTTCTATGAGATGGCACGATTTTCCAAAATTCTAATTATTCTCTCTCTCTCTCTAATTTGGTTAAAACATTGTACTGTTTTCTTTTGACTGAAGATGAATTTATAATCAAGGGCGTTGACCAGTCAAACAAACAAAGGTGGGCCCACATCTGACTCACCATGTATCCCTGTAATCAGCAGCTTTCTTTATCATGCCAATCAATAGTTTTCATTTCACATTGATTTGTTTCCTAATTTTTGTTCTATATAAAGCCAATCCAATATTCCGAATATAAACACGTATGTCATAAAAAAAATTAACCATTGTGTTCAGAAACATATAAATTAATTTAATTGATTTCGAATGAAGTTTAGAGATAATCTACGGTGATTTGCATCTCTCGTGTGATTTGGAGACTATTGCATATATTGTGCCGTGTGTATATATTGTGATTTGAAATGAAAAATAGAGAGTGGTGGCTAATGGTTCAATTATCTCGCTTATCTTAATCTTTGTATGATATCGTGGAATATTTTTATACCACATGCAAACCCACTATAATCGTCCCACCCCCGCATTCTAACTTTACCGATTTACTTGCAAATAATTTAATTTCACATCCAAATCACATCATCATTTACCCGTAAAATATCTTAAAATGTCCCTAAAGGTACAATTAGTATTTTCAATTGGTCTTTTATATGTATATTTTCTCTCCATCTCTTTAAATTATTATTATCTGTACAAATGTCCACGAAAAGAGTGTGTAAATACTTCATGTATATCTGTTTAAAAAGATAATAATTAGAAAAGCCTATTTATATTCCCATAATATCCTTATTTTATTATTACATTTACAGTATGTAATTTCCATACATATATATATATATATATATATATATATATAGTGGGAGGGGTAGGACCAGCTTGGCTGCATAATCTTCTGTACCGTCCCACTGTGGGCCCACGCACACCTCAGATCAATACATGTCCACGTCACTCGGCTTACTTTTCTTATCAATTTGATAGATTATCTGAATGTGATTATTATAGTGAGACCTGCCAATTTCGTGCTTGTATAATTTGATAGATTAATTGTTGATGGAGATTACGATAAATATTATTAGAAATCAGTTCATAAAGCGTCTACGTAAACTGATCATAGTGATGTTGTATAAAATTATAAAATATTTACTATTTTCGGAGTTTTATTGACTATGATATTAATTGATAATTATAAACAATAAATTATATATTTAAGACAATTCGGTATTTTAAAAGTATTATTAGAAGGAAAAAACTGACCCATGAAACAAAGGGGACCAGATACCTGCGAAAATTCTCGTTGCACTTCCTACGATATTCTTATAAATAGAATAATATATAATGGTTTATAAAAATAAATATAATATAATAAATAATGAAATATAGATGAATGTATCAATCAATCAATCATCATCGGTCCTCTGTTTCCCAATTAAAAGGGCCCATTCGATACGTGCCGAAAATCGTATATTTGTACCACCGTTGTCCCGTGTCTTTTTTTTTTATATATATTTTTAATCCATAATGTTATATATATCTATAAAGTTGTAATGTATTTCTTAAAAAGGTATTTTTACTAGTGCCAATGATAT